AAAAAAAAAAAAGACATCCGAGAAATGTTGTTTTTGTGACCAACAGTAGTGATCGAAAAATAAAATATTCGTCCTGATTTCTTAATCTGTGTTGCTAAATCTTAACAGGTCGGTCAAAATCGGGCGATAATATTACAAATCTATGATGAGCTGAAATATTTTTTGTTAAACGTAGTTTTTATTTTTTATTATTTTCAATGATCTGTGTCATTTTCCGAAATTCTTTGTGAATAAGCTTCAAGATATATTACATTTTATACATAATTCGAAATTATTTAGATGTTTTTCAAAATCGTTTTTCGAAGAGAACATGACATTGGTCGAACTTTTTCAAACTTTTATGTATTTTGTTCAGGGTTTGAAAAAATATGTAAGTTTCTAATAGATATGTTCAGCTCTACTAACACATATACATGTAAGTTTATAACATATCTATTCATATCTTTTTATAACATACATATGTAACTTTTATGTATTTTGTTCAGATTTTGAAAACTAAATAGTTCAATTCTTTGTCGTCTTTCTCATCATATCAGTAAGTGAAGCTTTGTTAACACTTGTTCAAAATCGCTTTTCGAAGTTATTCAAAGTCTTTTGCCGAAGTTTTTCAAATTTTTTAGTATTTTGTTCAAAATTTGGAAATATTAGGTAAGTTTATAAAAAATCTGTTTAGATATATTTATCCCATAGTAGGAATTTCTTGTTTAATGTTTAAAAGAATCTGTAGGAATTTTTATTTTTAAAACTTTTACGCCAAAAAATCGATTTTAATATAAAGGCAAATGTCTTGGTAAAAGTTGAATATGTTGATAATGATAGAGAAATCAAATTATTTTTCTTTCTATATTGTATAGTGTTCAATAATGTTCCACATAATTTGCTGTGTTTTTAATTTTGATTTTTTCATATAGATTTGACTTTTTTTTGTTGATTATTAATTATGGTTGATATTTCTATATTATACAACAATCTGCCATTACATACAATGCCTTGTCAATTCTCATTCTTTGACTTTGTCAATTTCTGTTTAATATGACTTTTCTGTTGCTGAAAGTATGTCTTTAATGCATTAAAATATTGATGTTTTAGATATGTTTTGATGCTATAATCATGCAGAAATTTGTCCCGCCACTTTTTTCTTAAAGAGGAATTGTTTAATGAAGATTAATTATTTTTATATTTATAATTGTGAAATAATATTTTTTTTCACGGCCAACAGTTATTTTGTTTTAATGAAAAATATGAGACAATTGATTCAAGACACTTTTTAATTTATAAAAAAAGATTGTTGATTGCGATAATCAAATATGCAGAAATCATGCATTTTATTGAATAGTAGTAATATAAAATATTTTATTATTACTACCAAATAGAAAGTCAAAGAATGTTAATTTTGTACTATTAATTATGATCGTATAGATTTTTTTTTATACATATGTTTTTTCAATGAACTTTTTAAATGATAATATTGACAATATAGACTTTGCTATAATAATTATATAGACTGTGTTATAATAATAATTTATTTATTTAATTCATAATTCATCTTATTATGCGTATAGTCTAAGTTTATAAATTATATGTCATTTAAATGTATCTATACTACTAATTTATAAGGTTTTACCATTTGGGGAGCTAAATTTTTAATTTTAATTATGAAACTAATCTTTCTTATCATTTTGTAGTTATATATTTGATTGAGTATGGCTGGAAATTAAATTACAAAAAAAATAATTTTATTTTTTATATTGTAATGTAACATGATATGTATTATAATGTTTGTAATTAATACATTTATTAATATTTCTTATAACTTTAATTGCTTATTCAATTTATAATGAAATAAAAAATAATAATATATAGTTTCTGCACAACAATAATGACTGTCACGTTTATATATATAAATGTTTATATATATAAATGAGAATAAGAAACATAAATGTGGGATTAACTAAAAGAAATATTTTTAATTTAGTCATTAATTAATTAAGTTTAATTAAAAAAAACCTTCTTAAATGTGAGATTAATGAGTAATTAATTAAAAAAATGTAACTTCTTTTGGAGGGAAAATGAAAATGTTTTTATTAAATGTTTTATTAAATGAGGTTAGCTAGCAATTATATATATATAGATGATAAGTCAACACTGTCACACTCGTAAATATTTGAGTGTTTAGTAAGTATGTTGTGAATCCTATGATATATGTTAATTGTTGAAATTAAAGAGACGTGCTTGACCCAAATTCTAACATAGCATATTATAGAAAGAAGTCTCTGTTTTTCATTATTTTGATTTAAAAAAAAAAATATTTCTTTGACGATTCATAAAATTAACTCGTTGATATGAACAAGGGGTATGTGCACATAAGAAAAGTTGTATCCAGTGTTTATTTTTCTCTTTTAATCACCAATACTATAATTTGATGCTGTGATATCATATTATTATGTTTGATTACTTGTGTTACTTCTCACAAAGATGTAAATTAGCCATCGAGCCAAACTTTTATTGATGAATCAAGTTATTAATTGAATTAGCTAAATTCGAATCTTAACGAGTTAAGTTATAAAATAATATCATTTTTAGCCTTAATAAATTGAGAGCTCATAAAAAATTATCATTTTTTAGCCTTAATAAATTGAGAGCTCGGATTAAGTGGATCAAATGAATAAAATCAAACCGATTAATTTAAACTTTAACGCGCCAAATTGTCAAATGGTATAATCATGTCCACCCATTCAGGATAAATAAATAAAAAATTAAAATTTAATTATTTTTAGTGTACACAAATTGACTATTTCAACGTTTCAACCTACTGAACCTTCACAGAGCATGGTCGCGCCACGACAAAAGAAAACCTCATATTTATGTCCTCCGCGTTTACTCAATTACGTTGACTTTGAACTTCAATCAATTTTTTTCCACGAGCTGCTTTTGTTTTAAAATGATCAAATTTAAATGGACAATAAAAATCAATATTTTTTCTAATATCCCTTTTTCTTATTTGCCTCATTTTCTAAATAAATTTAAGTAATTATTTTTCAATAATCTTTTAAAATCATGAGATTTTATGTGAAAATATTGGAGCATTTAAACATTTACACATAAAATGCCTTATTTGGCCAAAAATAAAAATAAAAATTATTTATTAAATATTTATGGATAATATGCCAATCCAATAAAATACATTAAAAAAAATAAAAAAACATGAC